TCTTGATATTTTACAATAATATTTTAAATAATAATTCAATCATATCTACATAATGTGTTCAATAGCTAGGTGTAGAGCCAGTAACATGCAAACAAAAAACTGCATCCAAACATCACAGTTTTCTCCAAATAAGAAAAAATACACGTGCGAATTGTATGAGTTTCTTTAAATACACATGATTTACATAAAATCTTTTATGTATTTATAATTTGAAAGCAAACAAATAACCCTGTTTAGGAAAGGGACATCATACCTTTCAGAAAATATAATTTGCATCTTAATTTTGCAATGAAAATGTATTTAACAGTAATATACTGTATATGTCCATGACAGGGTGGACATATCTTATGGTTTATGCTTCGAATAATGGCCCATAATTATCTAAAAAAAATGTGTGGGAGCTCAGCTAATATGTTTCTATAGTACTTGAGTGTCTACTAATTATGTCATTGCATTTATGACATTTCATAATTTCAGCTCTGTATGTCACCAGAACAGAACTAAAAATAAAACAATCAAGATGAAATTGAAGTGCACCCTATACACTTCAGAATTCATCCGGTTGCTTCTGTCTTCTGTCACGTCATCAATAAACACCAGTAACCCAGTGCCACTGGAAGCCATGCATGCTCATGCCATCACACTGCTCATGTTTCACAGATGATGTTGTATGCTTTGGATCATGAGCTGTTCCAAGCCTTCTCCATGGAACTCATGGACATCACCAGAGACTGGGTTTCCTCCTTTGTGATGCTTTGCCAGGCCTTTACTGCAGCTGACTTCAGTTGTTGTTTGTTTGTGGGTCTTTCTGCCTTTAGTTTTGTCTTCAGCAAGTGAAATTCATGCTCAATCAGGTTGAAATCAGGAGATTGACTTGGCCATTGCAGAATATTCCACTTTTTTACCTTCAACAACTCCTGGGTTGCTTTTGCTGTGTTTTGGGTCATCGTCCATTTACAGTGGGTACGGAAAGTATTCAGACCCCCTTAAATTTTTCACTCTTTGTTATATTGAGTTGTTTGGATGGCCTTTTAGATGGCCTTGTTTGGCTTTGACAGTGACACGCCTACTGTACCTGCTGGAGAGTGTTCTTCACTTGGCTGGATGAAAGTGAAAGGGTTTTTCTTTACCATGGAGAGGATTCTCCAATCATCCACCACTGTTGTCCGTTGTGGGCGGTCCAGGCCTTTTTATGTTGCTGAGCTCACTAGTTCATTCTTTTTTCTCAGAATGTACCAAACTGTTTATTTGGCCCCTCCTGATGTTCCTGCTATCTCTCTGATGTTTTTTTTTTTTGTTTGAAGCCTAACAATTGTCTGTTTCACTTGTATGGAGAGCTCCTTTGACCACATGATGTGGGTTCACAGCAACCGCTTCCAAATGCAAATGGCACACTTAGAATCAACTCCAGACTTTTACCTGCTTAATTTATAGAGAAATATAGAAATAATAGCCCACATCTGTCCATGAAACAGCTTTTGAGTCAATTGTCCAATTACTTATGGTCCCTTGAAAAAGGGGGTGCTACATATTAAAGAGCTGTAATTCCTTAACCTTTCCTCCAATTTTGATGAGAATACCCTCAAATTAAAGCTCCATATTCATTATATAACTGTAACTTCAATATGCTTTGGTCAACAGCTAAAATAATAAAAATTGTGCATGTATACAGTCATGTGAAAAAGTTAGGACACCCTACTGAATTCCATGGTTGTCTTTATCAGGGCATAATAAAAAAAATCATCTGGTCTTTGGCAGGTCTTAAAATTTGGAAAATAAATCCTCAGATGAACAACATCACATGACATAAAGCCAAGATGGAAAAGCCATGTGTGACAAACTTAGGACACCCTATGATTCAGTTGCCTGTAGATCCACTTTTAGCAGCAATAACTTGAAGTAATAATTTTCTGTATGACTTTATCAGTCTCTCACATCGTTCTGGAGGAATTTGGGCCCACTCTTCTTTACAACGTTGCTCCAGTTTATTGAGGCTTGTGGGTATTTGTATATGCACAGCTCTCACCGCAGCATTTCAGTCAGGATGAGGTCTGAACTTTGACTGGGCAATTGCAACACCTTGATTCTTTTCTTTTCAGCCGTTCTGTTGTAGATTTGCTGGTGTGCTTGGGATCATTGTCCTGTTGCATGACCCAATTTTGACCAAGCTTTAGCTGTCGGATCAGATGGCATCACATTTGACTCTAGAATACTTTGGTATATAGAGGAGTTCATGGTCGACTCAATGACTGTGAGGTGCCCAGGGCCTGTGGCTTCAAAACAAGCCCAAAATAATCAGCACTCCACCAGCATGTGTGACTTTTGCAATGAGGTGTTTGTGCTGATATGCTCTTTAGGATTTCACCAATTGTGACGCTGTGCATTATGGCCAAACATCTCCACTTTGGTCTCGTCTGTTCAAAGGACATTGTTCTAGAAGTCTTATAGTTTGTTCAGATGCAACTTTGCAAATCTAAACCGTGCTGCCATGTTTGTTTGTTTTTTGATAGATGAGGCTTTCTTCTGGCAAGCCTTCCAAACATACCATACTTGTCCCATATTTTTCTAATTGTACTGACATTAACTTTATCATTTAACATATAACTGAGGCCTGTAGAGTCTGCGGTGAAGTTCTTGGGTTTTCTGCAATTTCTCTGAGCGTTACATGGTCTGATCTTGGGGTGAATTTGCTGGGATGTCCACTCCTGGGAGGATTGGGGTCTGTTTGAATGTCTTCCACTTGTGAATTGTCTTAATCTCTGTGGAATGATGGACTTCAATTTGTTTGCAAATGGCTGTATTACTCTTCCCAGATTAATGGCAGCAACAATTGCTTCTCTAAGATCATTGCTGATGTCTTTCCTTCTTGGTATTGTGTTAGCACACACCTGAAGGCTCCAGACCAGCAAACCGCCAAAACTTCTGCTTTTATAGAGGTGCTCACACTTGCTGATGATCAGTTAATCAAAGGTATTTGATTAGCAGTGCCTGACTGCTACTTACCCTCTTAATTCCTCCCTGCGTTCCATTCGGAAGGGCTCATCCCTACGCCCTAATCCCTTCAAAGGGTTTACCCTCCGGAGTGAGAGCTTCGAAGGGTTGAAGGGTGTAGGGGACCAAACAACTGTTTCTTGAAGTGCCCTTCAGCGTCATCATCTTCTGACCACACGGAGGCACCGTCATCATGCAAAGGATCATGGGAGCCCGAAGTGTCCATCAGTTGTACCCTTCGAAATCCTTCATTCCGAAGGGCCCTTTGAAGCGGCCAGTTTTGAGCACTTTGGTTTGGAACGACCCTTCAATATGGCGGCCATGATTGTTTTCACTCCGAAGTGCCCTTCGGAGGGCGATATATCCCATTTGGAACACACCGTATACGTTAACAGTAAGCGCGTCCTAACTTTGTCACACATGGCTTTTCTATTTTGGCATTATTTTTAGTAAATAATGACAGTGCAATATGTCTTGTGGGTTTAGTTTTCAAATTTAAGACCTGCCAAGGACCAGACATTTTTTTTTACTATGCCCCGATACAGAAAACCATGGAATTCAATAGTGTCCTAACTTTTTTCACATGACTGTATATGGACCTGACTGTGTGTGTGTGTTTATATATAATATATATATTTATTTAGTCATTTATCAGACGCTTTTATCCAAAGCGACTTACAAATGAGGACAACAGAAGCAATCAATTGTAGTATTAAAACAACTAAAAACAGATCCAAAACTAAAAGCTAAAACTTTATAAATACTACCTATACACATTAGATATATATATATATATATATATATCATCAGATTTAATATTGTTTTTGGCCCTGTAGTTGCTGTGTATATCTACAGGTTTGGTGAGTTTCATTGTCTTGTTCTACGCCTGTGATTTGCTCCTGCGGTGTTGTAAAATCAATTCTTGTTTATGCCCTGTCTTTTGTTGAGCCTTCTCATTGTCATCAGAGTAATGTTTGTTTTCATAATGTCTCTCTTCTCAAAGCAAAACACTTTCTGACTTTCTCTTTCACTTATAGATCTATTCTAACATACATAACACTCAATATAAAGCCTGCACACTATCTGATTCATTCCATAATTTTGTTTTCGGAGACAAATTTCAGTAATTGTAAAAGATTCCTTGTTATTGGTCTTTGATCATTTCAGGGACATGCAGACTTCTTGAGGGGCAGTGGCCTAAAACCAAAAAAGGGGGCTGTTCCCCAAAGCTATGGTCAAATACTGATACCATATTATCCTTAGTATATACACAACCATTCAAAGTTATCCATTAAAACTAACTGAGAATGCATTTATAAACACAATCTTTTGCAATATAGGCTCTCATCAAGCAACACAAAAGAATGGAGTGAACTATTCACACTGTTTGACAAGAGATGTCTTTCGAGATTGATGCAATTTACACACACAATAGCATAGAAACGGTCACTCTTCCTGTATAACCTGTTGATCAGGATGTAAAATTGCCAATGCTTGACTTAAAATAAGATTTCCTTGGTGATAAAGATGCTAGAATAAAAACTACTAAACACATGATTGCAGCCACCATGCAGACACAACAAGCTGGTCACAAACAATTCATGCAGCTACCAAAAATAAAAAATTCTTCAGACAAACACTTGAGAGAAACCTTTAACAATACAATGCATAAAGAGACCAGGCCAACAACAGGTATCCATCATATCAGGGCCTGGGACAATGAACTAACAACAGGTAGAGAACACACTTAATGTCTAATATTAAGTTGAAGTCTTCTAAAGCACAAAATAATAATTGTCCATTATTTTTTTATAATTGTGTTTATTGATATTGAAAAAAAACACATAATATAGTTACGAGTGGACGCACAGAAACATACAGAGTTAATCATTACGGAAATGGATGAAAGATTTTGTAAGGCAGATTTTGACCTGCTAAAATTGCCGTAAAACGACTAGAAAATGAAAGTTCTTCATGAATAACGAAACAAGTGGGGAGTTATTGTTTGTAAAATTGGAGCTTAGGCTGCACAGGAAACATTTATGAGTGGGTCATATCAGGCTTAGCCTTTGTGTTGGTTCACTATCTCTTCCAGTTTAGTCTTGTTGGACCCAGAGAAATCTTCCAGCTACAAGAGAAAACAGCAGATTAAATCAACTAAACAATAACTGGAAGTAAATCAAACTCAGCATATTCGTAGAGACATATCTTTAACTTTGTATAGTTGATATGTGACTATTATTAGCTCAACTAGAGGAAAGACAACAGAACAAACCTTCTTCCCGCTCTTGTAGAAGTGGAATGTTGGCATACATTTAATGTCACAAGACTGGGCTACATCCTGCAAAACACAGAACATCACTTTAATATTTCTTAAGACGCTTTATTGCTCTCATCCAACTGCTTTTAGTTAACAAATTCAGCTTTTTGCATAATTAACGTAGACCAAATTTAAAAAGTTGAAGAAACTCATGTAATGAAATCAATGCATTGTACAAATATGACTGAATAAGAATAGGACTTGCAGGGCACATTCAGAAAAAGGAACAGAATCAAAAAAAAGTTTGATTTGGATGTAGGATAACCATAGCATAAATTGTATGTAATTATACTGCCCTCTAGCGGTATATTCATCATGCGCTAAAACAGCAAATTAAAAAAATAAAAACTTGTGCTGACATTTCTTTAATCTAAATGGATTTAGGCCTAAACTATGGTTGCATGGGGAATGGACAAAAAGATTAATAAAAGTCAAAGCTTTTCCTCCCATACAAGAGGAGTTTCTAGTGAGTGAATTACTGTGAAACAGTCATATTCAATTCCTTCTGGCTATCAGTTTGTCCAAATTTTCACACTGGCCTGTCTGTTAGTTTACTAACAAACATAAATTACCTGCCGTTCTCTAAAGAGCACTACTTGAGAACAGCAAAACTTTTATGTACATTTACAACACTATACTTTGTCTTTTCCTACCCTGGAATTAAGTTACATAAAAGTACATAAAAGCGCTGCCATGTAAGTGTTTCTAATACAAAGGCTGAGGGAGTGACGACAAATTCAACATCTATCTCCCGTCAAACCAATGTAATCAATCTCTTGATATTATTTTCCTCTTTTGAAAAGTCATAGAAATGCTATTGTAGATATTTTTTTATTGAGGCAAATGAGAACACAATTTATTTTTGTTGTAGTTTCCCTTGCCATTATACAAATTTTGACAACTATGATAAATTCTGCTTCTGGGAGCCCCAGAAATGTGAAAAGGGTCCATTACTAGATGATAACCTGGAAAAACTTTTACTCTGAGCTGTTTGTGTCTTCGAAGGATTATGCATTTCTATGGCAACACTATTAATGCAACCATGAATGTGTGTAATCTGAATAATCAACAATGCACAAAATCACAATACTACAACTAAAAGTTGTTATGCAAATGCTTAATATGCTTTTAAATTTTATTAAGCAGGACATTAGACATTAAATATTCAGCTCTGTGCTAGCTATGTTAAACTAATGCGTGTCTTTCAATGTTCTTCAAATTAATTTTGCATTAACAATAGACAATGATAGGAATTCTTAAAGGGGTCATATGATGCTGCTAAAAAGAACATTATTTTGTGTATTTGGTGTAATGAAATGTGTTTATGCGGTTTAAAGTTAAAAAAACACATTATTTTCCACATACTGTGCATTATTGTTTCTCCTCTATGCCCCGCCTTTTTAGAAAGGAAAAAATGAAATCGCATCATATGACCCCTTTAAACAGAAACTTTACAACAACTAAATTACATTTGACTCCAGTCGCTGCCATTTTGAGTGGCTCCACGTGACATTGTGGCAGTCAGGTCAATTTAACTCTTAGAAAATTACAAGTTCTACAAGGACATGAAAGCTTTTTACAAGTTGGAATCTCATATTAACTGTAATTCCAAGATTTCCAACATGATTTTTACAACACTACAGTACCAAAAAAAAATACATTTAGAAAACTCACCTGTGCATCATCTACGTCCACTTTGAGGAAGACCACATTAGCATAGGAAGGATTTTCAGACAGGCCCAGAAGTGAGGAATTACAATGAGAAACTGTGTCAAAGAAGTCTGTTCCAACGACTCATACATAGTGACTTAAAGTTGGTTCCTTACCTTGTAAAAAGGTGCGATGCTCTGACAAGGCCCACACCACGTGGCTGTAAAATCAACCACTACAAGCTTGTCACCTGCCTCAGCGAGAGCTTTGTCAAAGCCATCCTATGAACACAAATCAATGTTGGATTTCATGTTTTGTCATCACTGCAATTCTTTAATATAATGTTGCTGTGGACTCTTGTTTTTTTTAGAGGCAACAGCATGAAAAAAAGAAAACCATGATTAAATGAACCTTATCTACATTCACAGCATTCCAGACTGTGGAGTGGAACCAAAGTGTGTTGAACAGAGATAAAATCTGGTACTCCACTTTTATGTTGCTCCAGTCCAAACCTGTTTTCATTCCATGCATTGATTGGTGATCCACAAAGCTTGATGCTTTGTTTTCATTGTTGGAGAAGAAATACAAACTGGATACATTTTTCAAGTTACACAATGAACTACATTTTTATAGAACTGTTGTTTGAAAGATAATGCTTAAAGGGATAGTTCACCCAAAAATGAAAACTGTCATAATTTCCTCACCTTCAAGTTTTTACAATCCTGTTTTAGTTTCTTTCTTGTGTGGAACATAAAAGATGATTTGAAAAATGTTGGTAACCAAACAGTTTCACGGTAGCCATTGACTTCCATAGTAGGTAATAAAAAAAAATACTATGGAAGTCAGTGGCTACCATCACCTGTGTGGTTACCAACATTCTTCAAAGTAACTTCTTTTGTGTTAAGCAGAAGAAATAAATCCATTCAGGTTTGGAACAACAAGAGGGTGAGTAAAACTTTCATTCTTGAGTTAACTATTTCTTTAACTTTATTGTGTAAAACAATTGTTTTATTTAATGCATACTCTATACTATTTGCTATTATTAAATTGTATTTAAATTATATACCGACCACATGCCCTAGGTAACAACACAAAACCACATCGGTAGACCACTAAGGTCAACATTTTGTAAGAATTATTACACGATTTATCTGTAACCGACGGAATCAAATAATAGGGCGCATTTAACTACATTACAACAAACAGTAAGAAAGTGTCAATATATCGACATTTAATAATGTTCTTGTACACGGTCTAGTCTTATTCACTGCGGCAAATGATCAAATGCTGCCGTGCCAAAAAAAAAAAAAAAAGTCCAACTTGATGGCGCGCTTGGTCTGGAAGCAGGTCTCTTCAGGCCGCGATCACCGAAATAAACGAAATGCTACAAGAGCGTGCTACTTTCGTTATCTAGGTTCAACTATGAATGAGAACACGTTAATTTCAAGGATAGGTTTAGACCACACTGCGTTATCGCAAGCTGAAAGTTACGTAACGAAGCGGCATGCCAGCTGCCACAAAACTATATTTCACGTGCGTTGGTTCATAATTTTACAACACAACTGTTGCAGTGCAAATAACGTCAAATGAAAGCGGCATTTCATGGGCGAAAACTAAGCATGTTTGGCTGTCTTGTACCGCTGTGGCTAAGTATACATTAGCTGGTGTAAAGAATTGGTTAGCAGATAGGCTAACATTATCTACATTTTTTACAAACACAATCTGAACTGACTTATTTAAGTTTATTACTTGCTAATACTTTATGAATTCTCACACACAGCTGTTGAATTTTCAACCAACTTAAATGAAATCGGTTTGACGGGCAGTTAGGCTCTCGTGCAGTTAGTCAGCAAAACATGTTCTCCCTATCCATACCGCGTGATTTTGCTTATTTTGTAAATATATATATATTTAGTGAGTGTCTTGAATTGAAGCAGCGATCTTACCTGATCTTCAATGACGATGATCATTTTATCGCTTTACTGCTGTCTGGCGCTCGGAGAACAAACCTTCCTCAACTCGCTCGCCCAGAAATGAGCCCCCTCCCTCTGCTCTGCCTGACTCAAGCGTGAAGTAGTTTAAACAGCATCGCTTCCTTCAAAAAGCCCTGCCCCTAAACGCGCTCACGCTGGCGGCCTACAGGCCAGAAATGGCCCCATTGTTTGGGGCTCCGTGATGTGGGAGTAGCACTGGACATTCTTGCTGCATTAGGTTTCTATAAGATGTTTTAGATATTTTACAGCAGTTCTTACATTTTTAATAAATCCGTGTGGACAAAGGTCTCAAGCAATCCCTTTTAAATTTGCATAAACAATTTTTTTACGACACTTTTAACAATTCACTTATGTTAACTTTACAGTGATTGTACATTTATAGTAAAACACTTTTTAGTAGCCAGCAAGTGGTACTTTCTAGCATTGCAATATAACTTGTGCTGAACTGAAATCATTAGATACAGTAGTTTCTGATTATCACTGTGCAGATATTGTATCTAATAAACGTGTCTTTTTTGACTAAACAGGTGTGAAACAAACATGTTCATAGAATATCCATGTTAAAATAATGAATATTTAATAGACACACAGTCACTAACTGTGATGAATGACATCTGCTAAAAATACCCCATTAAATATCAAAACAGATGGTAAATTATAAATTAATAAACGTATATTTGGATGAGACTTTATTTTTTTTGGTTATTGGAGAATGCATGATTTAAAAATGTTAAGCGATCACACTGCTACACAGATAATTCTCATGTCTAGTTCCATACGCTGCTCCTTTTTTCTGCTCTTTTGGACAGCTTTCCATTTCACTCAGCCTGTTCTGTGATGCCTCATTCCATCCCATTCAATCATGTTAATCATTTTCTTTGAACACTGATGAAAATGCATGCGATGGTGGTGATGAGTGTGTTGTTATAGGATCTGGAATAATTAGGCCTTGCTCTTTGAAGTCTCCGAGTACGATGTTGCCACAGATACCAAACGCTGACTCTGTCCTTCTCTTTCTGTCGCATCCTTCATCCAGGCTAGTAGCTATTCAGAGATTCCAGGTGTTTGTCTCCATCATTTGGAAAGAAAGCCTTTTATTTACAACTGCTTAAAGGTCATATGAGGGCAGTTGTATAGCCGTAAAAGTTTGTCTGAGATGTGAACATGATGTTAGTTTAATAATGAGATCTAAGATGGCCTGTGAAGGTTTTCACTGTGGAACATAGGATTTGTATAAACAGCTACTTTAAAGCTGTTCACTCATCACAGTGAAATGATGCTAAATCTGTTGGAATAGTATTACAACAAAATTATATTTCAACAAAATTTGCTTACAAATTAAATATTAAATTATTTGTTTTACAAACACCTGGATGAATGAAAACCTGCACAGACATATTGCCATAATTGAATGCCATAAAATAAAAAACACTGCAGGAAGAAAAAAGAAGAGCAAAGACATTTTGTGGACTGACTAGTCTACAGTCCACACATGATGTTCAATTTAAAAGCCAACATTTTACAGAAAGACTATAATTAGCTTTTTTTTTCTAATCAACTCCTATCTAATCAATCCGCAGCTCTAGAGCGTTGATTGTAAAGTGGACCTGTCTCACGTTGTTTACCGTTTCCTAGGTGTTTTGTATCTCAATTGTAGACCATGTAACAAATGAATCAGAAAAAACCACAATACATTGAAAACCTGGAAGCAGTCCCAATATACAGTAGGAGACAAACTAACCTGGAGGCAAAAGAGTGCCAACAGATCACTCCCTAACATAAGAGTAAAGAGAACATGTGAATGTGATTGTTTAACCAGCTCAATTCAGGTTGTAATAATAGTAGTAATATGAACATTTGTACCCCAAAACAACTTATTTGTTAAAACAGTACTGCTGGGATACTTGAACTAGGATTGCAATTATTAATGAACTCAACAAGGTGGACTCAGACCCACTATAAAATATCCTACATTTTTGAATTTTTTTAAACAGTAGTAGCGTAGACATGACATAATGTGAAAATGCTGTCACCTAGTGGCCAGGTAGTCCTCTGGTCAATAAATAAATAAAATAGGACTGACATCACCACAAAATATAGTGGAAAAAGGTGAATATTTGCAGTTTTAATTGTACAAGCCATTTCTACTCTGCAAAAAATGTCAAATGTTTTTTTAATCAAAGCTTTTATTTTATTGGCTCAACCTAAGAGGTGAATTTGAGTGACTTGATATGATTTACAAATAAATGCAAAAAGGAGATGGAAAGAGTCTTCAGTTTTGTGAAATATTCAAACTATATCCAGCTGAGTTATCTGACTATTCGTGATCCCTTACATAATGAATTCATAAATGCATGCAATGTCATCTGCTTTCCATTTCTAAGTTATAAAACAATATATTGATGATTACTGTTCATGACATGCTGATTATGTTAATGTTGCTGAGAATTCAGACATATTTATTAGGAAATTTAAAAAAATATACTATCTAAGACAAGAATAACACTTAATATTTGGGAAGATCACATCAAAAGTTTTTTTTAATTATTTTTTCATTTATTGTTACTGCTTTAGGCGCATTATTTAATACGTCAGCACATAAAAAAATGTTTGACCAGATTTTTCAGAGAAACCAACAACAAAATATGAGTAATAAAGGCCAAGAAAACTGCCAATGCCCAGCATTTAAATGCCCCAGCTTGATATTTACTTCTAAATATGATTGTTTTATGCCCTTTGAGTGCAACAAAATGTCTTCCTTCTAAAACACTGAAATCTGCTTAAGGTAAAGGATATTCTAAAGATTAAATAGATTTGTCACAAGAAAGAGCCTGCTCTTGAGAAGCCTGTTAAGAGGAAACAGTGAACAGCACAAATGTGTTTAAACATCCTTGTTTTAGTGCACTTAAGTAAAAAAAAAACTAAAAAAAAATGTACTGCTATGAAACGAAATACGGTATTTCTCACATAGTTATAAAATGAATAGATGTCTCATGTAAATATCTCACAATTCTTTGTTCTGGATCCAGCATCCATTCCATTTCTTATGAATGAAATAAAGTAATACCACGTTTACATATGGGTAAACACAAATGCAGCCCTCTAAAACATGTCAGTTTAATGTAAAATGCACTCTGCACTTAAAAGGAAGAATGAATGTAAGTAAGCTTTGGATGGTTACACATGCTGTATATGTGGTACATTATGTGTTATTGGTCATGTGGTCCTGTTGTTGCAGACGGATGAGGTGGATTAAGGCTTGGCTGCTGACTTGCCTGGTTCCCTCCAGCCACCAAAAGCTTTCTCCAGGTAGAGGGCAGTGGCCAAAGAGAGACGGTCCTGTAATTTACCTGTCACAATCTGTACGCCCAGGGGCAAACCCTCCTCACTCAGCCCTAATGGACACTGGGTTACTGGCAAACCCAGGATATTAAAGATACCTGCAGAGAACAGAGCCACTTAGAGCCCCAACTCCATAATAAGTAGATCATGAGTAGATCTCAACCAACAACACTTACCAGTGTAAGAGAAGTTGAAGGGTGTGAAAACTGGGTGGTGATGTTTGGGAGCGATCTGAGGATGAGAGGGGTACAGCAGCACTCCGTCTGTGCCCAGCAACTCCTCCAGCTCCTGCTGCAGACTCTCCTTCTGCTGTAGAATGAATGGAGATGGATGGGAACTCTGGAACAGCTCAACAAGAGCCAGACCTGAGAAAGAGAGACAGACAGGAACACTATTATCACATGCATTCATCTTCAGATACATCGGGAAAAAAAGTCTTTGCCAATTCTGCACACTTTTGGGAACGCTTGTCACAGGAAGACATTGGCAGCACTGATTTGCATCTCATGCCCAATAAAGTTAATCAGACATGGATGGAAGAGTGATTCAGTCAGTCACAGTTAAAAGTGCACAAGCTCATTTGCTCTGTCACACACCTATTGCTGCTAAGGTGTGAGAAGAAAATCCCAGAAACCACTTGAACAGCTCCCAGGCAGGCCAAACCTTCTTCCCGCCTTCACTCATTAGCTCTGCAAAGGTGGTAGGAGGCTGAGATGGGGGGAAAAAAATACAAAATCTCATAAAAAATCTCATGTTAAACAGTACCCTAATATACCGTTTAAAAATTATTTGGTTCTATTAGGAAAGTATGTCTATAAAAAGGAATAACAGACAATATGCTTTGGTTAACTCAGACATCTAAACTTAATTATATTTTTATAACATCATTTTAATGCCAGAAGGTTAGTGAGAAGAAGAAAAATAAACTTTTCCATATCAATTTTGCATCTTAGACATCTCCTTTAAAAGCATCTTGAACAAAACGGCTCCATGTTTAACAAAGCACATATAAAAGTCCTGAACCAGAAACGACAAGATCTGTTTTACAGAACATGGAAGTTTGTTGTGCATAACCCCTTTATTTACACAATAGCAAAACCATTAACAGGATGCTTAACAGGATGAAAATAAAGAGCTAAAGTTAGCCAATCTCTCAGTGAAGTCTCAACTTCACGTTCATTTTGATGAACTCATTTGTCTCCAAAAAATTTTAGTTTAATATTTTATCCAGTATTATATCCAGTATATATATATATATATATATATACACATTTATTCAATATATTCAATGTTGTATATGATGAAGACATGAAAATGGCAAAAATCCCACCTTTCCATCTTTGCCAGGTGAGGCCATCATAGTTCCCCAGATCTGAAAGGAGTATTTGAGCTGAGGAATAAACAGCTCTTGGACCTTGACCCCAAGGTCTGCCTCTAAACGCCTGACCACCTAAAAAACCCAAAAGCCCATTATGAAAGGAAAATAAAATAATTTGACTGAAGCCAATCCACACACACACTCAATTACCATTTTCTGTGCCTGAAGCAGCTGTGCGTCAACTGGAGAGACCAAATGAGAGCCTCCATTGTGGGGAACAGAGAAGAACCTCAGCTTTTTCAAATCTACTTCAGCAGACAGCCCCAATCTACCAGAAGTGAAAGAGAAGTGACCATTTAGGATACATTTCTAACAGTGGTTGACCAAAATGAAAATAAATAAGTTGAGAGATTGAAATAAAAGTTACCCTATACAATATGTTGCAAGGTAAACTAGTATACAAAAATATAATGGAAATACACCACTGTTCAAAAGTTTGGGGTCAGTACGATTTTTTTT